TGTCATTCATCAAAACAAAAAAATATATTCCAGAAGAAATAATAAAGGGGTTTGAGCTCATGTCCAACAATTTCTCCCTTTTTGATAATGACAAACATAGTTGAGAAAGAGCAAAGTAAGAGTTCAAGAAATACTTCCCTTTAAGAATAATTCCCCTTGCAAGGTTAGAGAAGTGCAAAAAAAAATACCGGAGTAAAAGGCGGAAAAACGTTTTTGAAAAAAAACAAGTTTTCTCAACTACCCTTCCTTCCCCCTTTTGGCATTATCAACCGATATCCTTCCCCCTTAATCAATGCCGGGATATTGAGGGATAAAAAAAATTTGCAAGAGTTTTCTTAAAAAAACTTGTAACAAGAATTTCCACAAAAGGGACAATATGTTCTAAAAGAGAACCATATTGCCAAACCAACAGTCAAACAGATAATTAGCAACATCATCAACCATCAAAAGAGTCATAACAGTAACAAGCAAATAACAATGTATCATAATAAGTCAAGACAGAAGGAATATAATCAAAGAGAGTTCGCCGGACGAGCTCCTCCGCTAAAGCTGTGACGCGGGCCACGGTAGGAGCGGGATTGCTCAAAACGAGTCATCCTCTCGTTGAGCTGGCGAACGTCATCTCGGATGCACGTGAGAGTATCGAAGATCCTCTTTACCCAAAATGGTTCCGGTGCTTCTTCTCTTGGATGAGCCCTACGCTGACGAGTGACGCGCTCCGTGGCTCGACTTCCTCCGGCACGAGATGACTCAACTTTAGTCTCGTTTTGGCTCTCTTCCTGTCTGCGACTACGAGGTCCAGATTTGGTGCAGCATCGCCCTCATCACGGTACACGATCCGGGAAAACTTGGTGTCCTTGATGTAGCAAGTCTTCTTGACCGGCACCTGAGTGTCCTGAGTAAGGTCTATTTTGCAATGTGCAAGGATATGCATGATGGGGATGGCAAAACGGAGATGGGAAAAACGAGTGCCATCACTAAGTGCAACGATAAAGAAGTGAACCCAATCAAATTTGACATTGTTCAACAGGACGTGAAACAAAAGAATATCGTCCTTGTTGACAACGCCATGGTTCGAATCACAGGGCAACAAAACATAGGAGAAGATGTATTGTTGGACGCGTTGAATCAAAGTGAGGTTAATGACACTCGGGTTGCTAGAATTTCTAAACTTGAGGTCACGATGATCTAACCCGAGTTGTCGCCAAATTGCCTCATCTTGGAATGTTTCATCCAAATTTCGGTAATTTCACCTCGACGAAGGCCAAACAAAGAAGTCAAACCGGCACCGTCAATGAAAACGGTTTTGCCATCAACATAGGAAATGAGAGATGGCGAGTCTCCCTTAGTGGTACGAAGATTTGCATAAAATTGACGTATAAGATTTGGACAAAAGAATTCATACGTCAAATGGATGAAACAAAGCAAACCTTGCTGAGAGAAAAGAGACTTACTCGGGGCACAGGTCGCCGACTTGAAGAGGTCCTTGTCCACAATCTTAGGTGAGACGATCTCCTTCGTGAGAAAGATGTTGTGGAACCTCTCGGCTGAAGCCCCGGTGTTGAAGGCGAGTCCGGTTTGGATGTGGATGTACTTGCTCCCTTCACGACGCCATGGCCTCTCACCTTCTTCTGCCGCCGATTCTTGATGTGATGAAGCGTTCTTGCACATGGGCATCCTTCCTCTTTGAATTTGATGAATTTTGGTGAGAAAAATTTAGGAGATTGTTGAAGAAATCGGCAGAGGAGATCGAAGGAGGGGGCTAGGGTTTCGCCGATCTCTGGTTCTGTAAAAAGAGAATGTCGAAGAAGACGAAGACCGGCTGATTTTAAGAGAGTGGAAATTGAAAAAAAATCGATTAAATAAGTCGAATTAATCGATTAGTATGTACAGCCGGGTCTAATCGATTAATTTAACAGGATTAATCGATTAAGAGTGAAGCAGAGCAAAAAAAAATTTCCCTGAAGGATTTTAATCGATTAACAAAAGGCCAGTAATTGATTAAGCGGGACAGAGGCGACTAATCGATTTCTCTTCGAGGAGTAATCGATTAAAACTTGTTTGACAGAAAAATCATCAAGTCCAATTCGGTTGAATACCAAGGGAAGAGATACCTGCAATAAAAGCCCTGCAAAAAAGAATTTATCATGCCTCCGACGCTCAAATTAGTATAGTCAATAAAAAGAATGGATTAGTTCATAGAGATATCCAAAATGCCAAGTTCGTTCTGAATGTGGAAGAAACTCTCCCTACTAAGGGGTTTCGTGAAAATGTCCGCCAATTGATGTTTCGTTTCAACAAACTCAATTGTGACATCTCCCTTTTGGACGTGATCTCGTATGAAGTAATGCCTAATTTCTATGTGTTTAGTCCTCGAGTGAAGAACGGGGTTCTTCGTTAGACTAATAGCGCTCATATTGTCACACCTAATAGGGATGTGATCAAGTATAAGGCCGAAATCCACTAGTTGCGGTTTTAGCCAAAGAATTTGGGCACAACAACTTCCCGCAACGACATATTCCGCTTCGGTGGTGGAGAGTGCAACACTAACCTGTTTCTTACTAAACCACGAGATTAACGAGTGACCGAATAAGTGGCAAGTACCGCTGGTACTTTTCCGATCGAGTTTGCAACCTGCAAAATCTGAGTCGGAATAGCCAACAAGATGACATGTTGAACCTTTGGGATACCAAAGACCTACTGTTGGGGACTTGTCGTGAGGTCCAAAACAAATTAAAAATTTATAAAATATCCTTAGCTAACCCCCAATATAATCAAATAAAAACTATAGCTAGGACAAGTAAGGGTTGATCCCACGGAGAAAGTTTGTACTTTTTAAAACCAATTTAGTATGCAAACACGTTGTCACTAAATAAAATAAAAAAAACTACTACACATATGATAAGACGTATAAAACTTATAATAAAAATTATAACTATGACTTATATAAACAAAGAACTTATAATATAACTGAAACACAACACAAAGGGGGGGTTGGATGAAAAGTAAATATATTTTTTTGGTTTTTTATATTTTCTTTTTTTTTTTTGGTTTTTTGATTAAATGGGGGGAAACAAGCTCAAAAGATAATCAACTACTCCAATTAAGGTAACCCAAGAAACACCGCCAAGAACCCAAAACAAAATGAAAAAGAGAACAAACACTTGAACATTACACGTATAATAGGCACTTAGACAATATATTACGTAACTTACGCACTTAAGAATAGAAAAGAATTCAAAGGCTCGAGTTGATTCATATCCTTGACCACATATAGAGGATCGTCAACTCTCTATAAGGCCCGGAGTCAAGAATTCAAAGGCCTTTTGGTGACTTTGAACCCCCACTCTGAAAGGTAACCATGCAAGGATAGGCAGCGGAATATAAAAATTTTTAACATCCTAACATGATTATCTTGCCCAGAATCACGTACTAAAACATATAGTGAGTAAGAAATTTATACCTTTCTCCGTAAGCTGTAAAAACGAAGAAGTCGTAGGAAGAGCGTTGAAAGTGCAAGCGTAACCGTTCAAGCGTCCGGTCTCCAACTTTGACACACGAACAACGCCGGAGTCTACCACAATCTTTATGCTAGTAAAGATTATAGTAGTATAAAATATAAAGATTAAAATTGGGATAATAATAATCTTGTATATTTCTATAGAAAATATTTCTAATAATATTTAGAAAATATTATAGATATTTTCTATACACAAAATGATATTAATGGAACCAAACTAATATATTTCTCTCTCTTAAATGGTATGGCCGAATAAAAATACCAATGCTTAGCTAATGGTGTGTATGGTTTTAAATAAAGCATGATTAGTAATTGATTTTTGTCATTAGCTAAATGACAAATCAATTAGCCCACTCAAAAATCAATCAAAGGAAATAATGATCCTCTTCAATCCCATATGGCCGAACAAAAGATTTGTGATTGTGAGAAGGATTTTCAAAATTCTTCTTCACTTAAATGTTCAAAGTGTATTTTATTTGA